ACAGCTGGCTGAATGCAGTTGGTATAGTGTAGTGGGTAACTCCTCTGCCTTCTACACTGTAGACTGGGGTTTGTTTCCCCACCTGGGCAAGCACCCTACTCTATACCAATAAGAGTCATTGGGCAAGACACCTAACACTGCCTTCGCCTACCTGTGTAAAATGATCAAATTGTAAGTCACTTTGGATAAGAATGTCTGCCAAATACCATAAATGAACACACAAGGGTGTGTTTTGGTGGTCTTCAAGTCAAGCGTCTTATGTGAGCCCTCGAAAGGACAAGTGATCGAGTGATCTCAAGTGTTAACTTAGAAATCATTGTGACCTGATGCATTTTCCTTTTCAAACCTGAAAATAATGATGGACAAATCTGTGTATAAGCCATAGTGTAACTATTTTGCTGCTGACACAACTACATCAGTTAGCATGCTAAAGGCTGCACTTTCCAAAAAGAAAGGCACTACACCATGGTTCCGCATTAAGACAAAACATTTAGTCATAAATGCTATGTAAGTTGAGTTCAGGCTTCTCAAAAAACGTTCTCCATTGAAAAGTTTGATTGGCTCACTGTTCTCTTCTCACCATCAACTTGAGGGGCAGTTTGTCTAACGTAAGTGTGATACACATTCAAGTGTTGAGTTTCTTAAACCCAAGGTCATTTTACTGCACATCAAATAGAAGACATTACAAAGAAAAACTAAATAATAATCATATCACAAAGCAAAATGGCAAAGAAACCACAGCACAGTAGATACTTCAAGGGTTGATGATTCAAATGTATTCAATTTATTCAAATTTAGCTGTGGAGGTCAGAGGAAACCAATGTCCCCATAATGCAGATAAAATCAAAAGTATTTCTTCTGTTTGTAAATACGTTATTGCAGTATTAGCAACTGATCACCTTGCCGTAGCTGGTTGAGTAAGCTTTTAAAATAAAGCCACATTTTGAAAGGTACATTAATGCACTTTTATGTTTTACCATACAGAAAGACACCAAGCCAGTTCAGATGATGCACCAGAAAGCAAAGTTTCACCTGGCCTATATCCCCAGCATGGATTGCCAGATTCTGGAAATGCCATATGTGGGAAATGAACTTAGCATGCTAATTATGCTACCTAAAGAGATTAAGGATGACACCACTGGGCTTGAGAAGGTGAAGTATAAAATGGCTGAATTCATGTAAATCTGGGTAATTAATATATAAGGCGTACTGGTGGACAACACCAGTGTCATTCACATTGACTTCAAACTGAAATGTACAATCATTTGGAATTTTATTTTCTCAGCTCGAGAAAAACCTCACTTATGAGACCTTCAAGGAGTGGACACAGCCTAATATGATGGACCATGTGGAGGTGCAGGTTGCTTTGCCTCGGTTCAAACTCGAAGAGACCTATGACATGAAGGAGCTACTTGTCAGCATGGGCATGGTGGATGCCTTCGACCCAATCAAGTGTGATTTTTCACGCATGTCTCCATGCGATGATCTGGTGCTGTCCAAGGTGGTGCATAAGTCTTTTGTGGAGGTGAATGAGGAAGGCACAGAAGCAGCTGCAGCTACTGCAGCCATCATGATGATGCGGTGCGCCATGCCATTCCCAGAGAGTTTTGTTGCAGACCACCCATTCCTCTTTTTCATCAGACACAATGCAACTCAAAGCATTCTGTTCTGTGGACGGTTCTGTTCTCCTTAAACTGCCTGATGTATTAATCATTTGTTTTGCTACTGGTATTTTCAGGAAAAGTCAGCACGTGCAGTGGAATGGTTAGAAAACAAATGTATTAGTCTGTGTATAAAGTGGTTAAACAATACTATGCTGAGGAAGACATGGTTAAGATCAAGAATTAAAAGCATTTTTATATGTTTTTATTAATGAACTGCTGTGGCCACTGCATGAAAGTATTTTTTCTTATGTTAAATGCTTAATCACTTAAAGTTTTTTACACAGCTCAATTAAGGTAAAGAGAGAAAACTTAAAGCAAAGGTTCACTTAAGATGTTTTAAGCCAGCGATCCCTGGTCTTACCAATATGCCTCGCCTTATATATCCCTGTGCCTTAATCCTGCTAATGTATAGCTTTAAGAAGAAACGCCTTATGTGGTTAGCGAGTGTGGTGCAGTTGTCACTATATTATGCCATGAAAAAGAACACTGTTTAACTGAGCTTTTTGACTAATAAAAAATACAAAATACATGAAATATTTGTCATTTCTTTGAATTCTGAAACAATGGAAACAATATCTCGATGTCAAATGTACAACAGAAGAAAAGCAGAAATTCTTGTTTATTGCTGTGGAATGATCATTCTCCGATATAGTGTTCTCCACTTTTTGGGCCTGGTAAAACACTTTTTGGACTGAAAATTAGGGTGATGCCCCTTTTTAGATGGTCAGTTTGTGTGCATGATTTCAAAAAACATGAAACGTTATGTGTTTTCAACTACATCCCATGCTGTATGCTACAATTGGTAGTATATGTAACAACCAATCACAGGGTCCAAGCACTTGAATGTACAACAGCAGATTGCTGTTCATCACCAACTTGCATCTTGTTCATCATAAGATGCATCAGCTTTTTGTTGTTAATGTTAATAAGGCTGAAGTGAGCAGAACAGTCATTACTGAGTGTGAATGGCTACATGCATTAATATTATATGCATAAATATTATACTCGTACACTAAAGTATGTCTTCTGTGCTTTTTGAATAATTGGCATAGTGGTCATAACAATCACATAATAGCAGAATAATACATTGATGAAGTAATAAAATTAATTTTAAATGAGCCTGCCCTGTCTGCATAGTTCCCATCAAAGCAAAAGTCAAATTTATACAATGGTCAGACTTTATGACAGCTAAAAACACATTATGAATGTTTTTATGAGTGTATGTTTTGTTTTCAGTATGAACCCAATCAGCTGAAAGGAACTAGGCCCTACCAGTTGACTACAGATGTTTCATGAGCCAGATTAATTCTTATTCCAGCACAAACAACTACATAAGTGTAGGTACCCCCTCAAGTCCAGTAGGTGGCAGCATCACTCAATGTATTTCCCAGAGCCAAAACTTGAATGTTCATGTGTACTACACCTGACATGAACATCTTAATACTGGTTCTTCAAAAACAATGGTTTTAGTTGACTAATTAGGTCGCTATTCAAAAGTTAGCAAATCTGTGCTGGGAAATTCTGTAATACATACAAATATTCAAAAGACTTATAATTTGCATTATTATGATAATATAATTTGTAAAACTTGGCATTAAATTCGAAAAGAATGCAAAATAAAAGCATTTTTTACTAGTTGTCAGGTATCTTCAGCAGAGGTATCAAAAACACTCAAACGCACCTCAGATTCTGGTTACTTAACAAAGAAACTTAGTAGAAAAAATCACAGCCAGCATTAGTAATGAACGAAGAACAAGGACCAATCAAGCACCACTGGAATCAGCCTTATTAGCATAGGAAGACCAGACAAATGCTGCACTGTTAAAAAGAAGGTTCATCGGGGGTTCTTCAGTAAAGGGAATGGTGCCATTTAGAACTATGAGTTCTATATAGGAACATTTCATGCTTAAATCATTCTTTGTATGGTAAAATGGTTCTTCAGATTGATGAAGAATGTATTGTTTATGGTTCTGTATAAATCCTTTATGATCCTCATGTTGTTTTTACAAAATCTATACCTGTGCTCGCATTTCTGTCACCTGCCACTACAGAGCCCTGAAGAAGAAGAAATAACCATATTATTAAGCAGTAACTAACATTTCAACACCACTAAACGTCAGTTTTGAAAATTTCTTTCAAAATTAGTCTTACACTTGCATCTATGTGAGCTTTAATCTATGTACCATAAAATTAAGATTAAAAAACTAAAACTAAATCCACCCCACCTCTTCAGCTCTACCAGTATTTCAGTTAGTCAGGTACTGAAACTTAAGAGTGAAGTATGAAACTCACATTTGCATTGGCCTGGTTTGGCTATGCCCAGAATAGTGCAGCTCTATAACCAGATGTTCATCATTCCCCAGAGTATTCAACAGAACACACTGAGCAGCTTTATACAGCCTGTAAATCAATATTAATACTTACCAATATTATTTAATGTATAATATTTAATATTTAGTCATATTAGGATGATTTTAATTGATATTTGGAAAAGCAGTCCCCCACAAAAATCTTCAACAAGACAAATTAGTGTAAGGCACTTTCTTCCTTGGACTGAAGAGATAGGATTGCATGGCAAATGTAAGGGTCACTGAATACATAGAATGCCTAAAGGGAATGTTGACTTAATGTTATTTATGTATTTATTTCTTTATTTTTTTATTGGGGCACTTAATAGCCTACTCAAGTTGATGGTGGGGGTATATTAACCAAGGCTGGGTTTCCCAAAAGCATCTTATTACAAAGATGATTCTTAAATGGTAGTTCAAGCATCACACTGAACACTCGCTATAGCTGTTTAGATGATTTTGGGAAACGCAGCATATTTATTTTGTTATGTAGTATTCATTTTTCGTAGTTTTTGTTTATATTTATCTTAAATCCACCCTTCACGGTTCATGGTGGTATTTGAGCTGGTGAATGTGGATTGTGAATTCAAATATAGGCCCTTAAAACCAGCTGAGACCCAGTGTCCTCTCATGTATATGTGAGAGTGTGTGTGCTTTTGGGGAAGGTTTGGGATATATGAAGAGATCATTTCCAATGCAGCATTAAAATGAAGTGATTCTTATTAGAACTGTCTCAGTGACTACTGAGAATTCTTCCAGTGCTCTGGATAGCCATTTTATTAGTACACCCTTGGGATTTCTTCAAAACCTACTACAGCAACTCAGCAGGTGTGGTCATGGCTCAGCGATCAGCCATCTATTTATAAAACAGAGTTTATCTGAATGTTGTTTCACATTTACTGTCATTTATTCTGAAGTTGATGTCACATATAAGAAGGATTTCAAAAGACAATGTGGGGAGAAATCAAGCAAATTTATGGATCAAAGACTTTATTCATATCTAGTAAATCAAAAGCAGCATTACATAATGAAGAGCCTGAATACAGTTGTGCTAAAAGCAAAGTGAACAACTGCTAAAAGAAAAACAGTTTAGATTGAATACTGAAGTTTAAGCAAAACCACAAAACAACAGTATCCAGAGAAGTGAAGGACAACACTCTATGCAACACATTGCTCTGCCCTGACCTCTATGACAGCAGACCCACCGCTGCGGGTGGCCTCGCACAGCACTGAGACCCCTCTTTCCCACTCCTGCTGAGTTAGAGTCAGGGTGCTGCTCCAGCTGTACAGGCCGTCCTGCTGCAAGACCCCACGGCTGGCCTCCTGAGCTCTGCTTCTTCCATCTACTTTCCAGTTCAGGGTCCAGTCTGAAGGGAAGCCCTTGTTGGCGACGCACATCAGCGTAGCTCTGCGCTCCTTGGTCAGCTCTTCACTGGAGGGAGGCAGGACTGTGAGTTTAGGAGGGGTGGTATCTGAGAAAGAGAGTTCAGCAGGTTGTTCACTGGAATCGCTTCGCATATAAAAAATATGTTTTTTTAATCAATGCACACAGTGTACATTTAAATATCAAGAAGTGTTTTAAGATGTATTCAATGGTTCACATATTTTGGGAACAGTAAGAATGTATTAAATGATAAATATATACTGTAATTATTTATTTATGATAATTTCTTGACAGAAAGCTCACCGACACTTTAGACGATAGAAATGATAAAGAAGGGGAAAAAAGAGAAAGAACAAGCCTTAAGAAACATTTTCATGAGCATGGAATGTGTTAACTGCTTCTTGTGCAGTTGAGGAAATAATAGTAAAAATGAAAGAAACATTTGTTAAGAAGAGCGAGAGAGAATTTTACTCACTTCCAACATCGAGTCTCGTTCCGCCACCAAAAGTGTACCACAGCGATTCAAACACCATCAGTGCCTGTACAAAAACCTCTAGCACAGACAGGGGGGGCTAAATCCTGACCACCTGCTGCGGGAAAGCACCCCCATCACAACAATGGAATCATATTAGTAAAATAATAAATAAATATATTACTTCATAAATCATACAATTACTGAGGGATTTGGACAAGGAAAGTTTATATTAAATGTAAAATGAAGCCCATTTGAGAAGGTAGAAGATGTCTTCAGAAGCCATTTTCCTTTAAGACAGAATAAATGTTATCTAAATTAATATGGATTTTACTGCAAGTGCTCAGTAGTAGAGTTAATCTATTACTCTTGTAGATTACTTAATAAAAAATAAAGTTGAATCGTTTATGGGACGCTTTATGAAAACCTTACTAAAAACCAACAATCAGTCTGTCCTTCTTTTACGAGTTCAAAAAAACATAATATTCCATAACTGAAATGAACTGTCTCTATGAATGAACTGGAAACAATGTTTGTAAAATTTGTAAGTTTGACCATGGTATAAAATATAATAAATGATATGAAACCGCACTGGTATTCAGTCAAAACAATTGCACTTTGCAAGAGGAATAGCAAACCTACAACATAGACACCCTAATTCACAAAGTGCAGAAGTAAAATTATCTAACAGGCCAACAAGGACAGGACCTATAGTGAATGCTGGTAACCCTGTCATTTATATGTAGTCTACACAACCACTTTGTCTAATATAAATTTGATAAAAAAAATCCGACAAAAATCTGTAATACATTCAAAATCTGTTTTAATTTCATTTTGGGGATTTGGCAAAAAATATTTTCTAAAATTAAACTTTTGTTTGGACAGTAAATTATTTCACTCCAGATTCCTCAACTATAGGCCATATAATTTTGTGAATGACTTAAACTGAAACTACAAATTACTATGTTATGTAAACTGAAACTAGCCATGAGCCCATTAACTTTCGTCATGTCTAGTATTTTGATTAACTAGCAGAGGTATCCGTCCAACAATCCCCTAACAGAAGAGATCTGCGTCCTGCAGTGTCTAATTCTAACTCTAATGTAACACCCAGTCAGTTAATCTAGGCCATCAGCAGCATTAGAAAATTAAGGCTGTGTGCTGAAACTAAACCTGCCAGGGTGGTAGGATCTCTAGGTAGGATTGGAGTTATGCACCGTTACCCTATTATCTTATGTTGGGCATGTCAAACTGGGGACCTTCCAGGCAAAAGTGCTGCATAAATTTGCGTTTACTCTCATCTAAAGCTCTGTGTTCATGAAGGCCTTGCTAATGAGCTGAATCAGGTATGTTTGATGAGGGACTGTGCTGAAGTCTGCAGTGTTTTGGCCTGCAAGGACTGGAGCCCAATACATTTGTCTTATGTCATTGTTTCAACATAAGCAAGTTGGAGGTTTAGAGTTTTCATTTGATGTTCTTAGTTTAGGTTTCGAAATCATCTCTGGTCGTTGTTAAATGCTAATATATGACATATTTAGATAGATAACTAGTTTGGAAGACACTGTCACTAGTTCAGAAACGCATACAGAGACAAAAATGCCAGTGATGTTATACTTGCATGTTATCTTTTGTAGAATGTTTCAATCTTGAATTACTAGCACTGTGTTACTCTGTGGTGTAACACATCTCGCTCCTCAGCAGCTGGTGTATGCGCCAGTGCACTTGTTGTGCTGTATGAGGGAGGTTGTTGTACAGCTTTTTATTACTTTGTGAACACTGGACCACTGCTTGTTAGTATACAGTAGTAGTCACCCGCATCTTCAGCCTGGACTCCAGTGATGGTCAGAGTGAACTCTCTCCCAGAACCTCTGCCGCTGAATCGAGATGGAGTCCCAGACTGGACTGTGCTTACACTGTATATAAGGAGCTTAGGAGCTTCTCCAGGCTTTTGTAGGTACCAAGACAGACAGTCAGGGCTGCAACCAGTTGTATAGTAACTGAAAGAGCAGACTATATTAACATTTTCTCCTGAGGAAACAGATGCCACTGAAGGAGTTTGTTTCACAGTCACCTCTCCTGTGGAACCTAAAAGAGATTTAGATTTGAAAACATGATTACGCTTCTTTACAGAATACATAGTTCTAATGTTACATGTAGAGTTTTATAAATATTCTTTGTACAATGATCTTTAAGTTCTAAATTCTTTACATACCTTGGATGCAATTAATCAACGTCCAGATAAGGATGATGATGAAATTCATTTTGGTGGATCTGTTATTGTGAAGATCACCTCTTGTTCATGAAGTTTTAAGCTCACAGGGCTGTAAATACTCTCTGTGCACTGAACCATGCACTGCTAATGCAAAGTTCAACTGTTTTTCATAAAGTGTGCAGAATGACATTCAGTGGCAGTCATTTCTTGTGTTTCTGAAGCGCCCTCCAGTCATGTATTTTGATCCTAACACTTTTAAATTAAGAGCATTAACAACAGGCTATTTAGTTTTGTCATGCATTTACAACCCCATTTCCATAAAAGTTGGAACACTGCAAAAAATGTAAATAAAAACAAAATGCAGTGATGTGCAAATCCCTGTATTCAATTGAAAATAGTACAAAGACAACAATCAGATGTTGAAACTGAGAAATGTTATTGTTTTTTGAAAAATATACGCCCATCGTGAATTTGATGCCAGCAACACGTTCCAAAAAAAGTTGGGACAGGGGCAACAAAAGGCTGGTAAAGTTGTGTAATGCTAAAAAAACACCTGGTGGTTAATGGGCAACAGGTCAGTAACATGACTGGGTACAAAAAGAGCATCCCAGAGAGGCTGAGTCTTTCAGAAGTAAAGACAAGGAGGGGCTCATCACTCTGTGAAATATTGCACAAGCAAATAGTGCAACAATTCAAGAATAACGTTTCACAACGTAAAACAGCAAAGAACTTTTGCTTTTCATCATCTACGGTACATAATAACATTAGAGAATTCAGAGAATCTGGAGAAATCTCTGTATGCAAGGGACAAGGCCAAAAACCAGTACTGGCTGGCCATGCTCTTTCTGTAGAGGAAATCACTGCATGGGCTCAGAAACACTTCTGAAAACCACTGTCTGTGAAAACAGTTTGTCGCTGCATCCACAAATGCAAGTTGAAACTCAAAGAAGAAGAAACCATATATAAACAGGATCCAGAAACGCTGCCACCTTCTCTGGGCCTAAACTCATTTAAAATGGACTGAAGGAAAGTGGAGAAGTGTCCTGTGATCCGACAAATCAACATTTGAAATTCAGTAACACTTTCATGTTGTAAGCATCTATACAAAATGTCATGTTTGTAAGCATCGATAAAGCAATCTTTAAATCTATATAAGCATTCATAACATGTTGTAATGCATTAAAAGGCATCATAAACATGGCTATAAATATTTATAAAAATGCATTACATGTTATAGCCATGCTTATTATGCCTTAAGAATTGTTAACATAATGCATTATAAGTACTGTTTATAACAAATTATAAGAGCTCATAAGTTGTATTTGTCCTCTCTAAGTAAAATAAAGCATACTGTACTAAAGCCTCTTCCAGTGTTAAGAGTGAGGCTTCAAGTTGAAGTATTTACTGAAGAATTTCCTGAAACACTAAAACATACACAATAAAGCACATTACAGGCTTCAAATGTCAGATTTTAAACTAGCGCTGCTGTCAGTAGTGTTTTACCCAATGTGGGAAAGTCAATGTGCACCATTGTTAGCTTGGCACTAACCTAACACTGCATATCCAATAGAATGCTAGCAGAAATTAGCATTACTGTTCTGTAATGTAGTGATATTACAGAGTGAAGGTTTGTAGCGCTTGACATTAGAACCACTGAAGGAACAAATTACTATGACAGCACTCGACTCAGCTTGTTATCAGTGCACAGTTCAAAAGCCAGTATTCGTGATGGTATTAGGGGTACATTAGTGCACATGGTATGGGTGATGTGCACAACTGTGAAGGCACCATTAATGCTAAATGATATATATATGTTTTGACAACATTTACTGCCTTCCAGACGACGTCTTTTTCAGGGAAGGCCTTGATTATTTCAGCAAGACAATGACAAACCAGATTCTGCATGTATTGCAACAGCATTGCTCCATATTAAAAGAGTCCGGGTGCTAAACTGGCCTGCTTGCAGCCACCACTGAAAACATTTGGTGCATTATGAAATGAAATATGAAAAAGGTTATGAAATACAGCGGTAAAGATGCCCCCATCCCAACATATTTGGAACATGTTGTTGGCATTAAATTCGAAATGGGGTTATATTTTTCAAAAAACAATAACATTTCTCAGTTTCAACATTTGATATGTTGTCTTTGTAATATTTTCCTTTAAAATATGGTTTTCATGATTTGCATATCATTGCATTCTATTTTTATTTACATTCTGCACAGCGTCCCAACCTTTTTGGAAATGGGGTTGTATTTGCTACATGATAATACCAATTTGAAAGGTGTGCCAGAAGGGAGCCTTTTCTTTCGGCTAACCACAAATGTAAGCGACTGGAGATTCAACATGACACTACTGGAACTTTGACTAGAACTAGCGTCTATGGCCAGATGAGACAAAAATAGAACTTTTTGACAAAAAACACCCAAGGATAGTTATACAGAAAAAAATAATCTAAAATGTGAAATATGGTTGAAAATCTACAATGTATTCAGGCTTTTTTTCCCACCAAAGGCTCTGGGAACATTGATGAGATACACAGCATCATGAACTCCATAAAGTGCCAGGAGATTTTACATGAAAATCTTATTGCTTCTGCCAAAAAGCTTAAAGGAGCACAGAATCAAGCTTTTCACATGGACCTCCAGTGAAAAAAGGTGGGCTGAACTGAAGATGCAAGTCCAAAAGAAAGAATCTACAACCTTGATGGATCTAGAGAGATTCTGTTTTGTGTAGTGGTCTCAAATTTTTCATTTGTTAAATGATCGCCTTTATCCAATCATTTTGTTAAGATAAAGATCAAAAACATACATGGAAATATGTTAAAAAAAACTTACTTTTTCCACCACAGGATATACTGAATAATGAGGCAAAAATAACAGTTTTAACGTTCCAGTACTTCTGGAGGGCACTGTTTACTGTCTAGATATTAATCTAGGCTGATGAGTGCTGCATATCATTTGCTACACATGTGGTGAAAGACGTTTAGGGTTTTTGTACAGCTCTTTCTCACTGTGGAACACTCCTTTGCTGTTTATCCAGTGGTAACTCTGACAGTAGTAATCCCCTGCATCTTCAGTTTGAACTCCACTGATGGTCAGAGTGAATTCAGTTCCATAGTCACTTCCACTGCCTACAAACCGAGATGGAGTATCAGACTGAAGTGTTGTGATACTGCGGATGAGAACTTTAGGTGTTTTTCCATCTCTCTGATAGTACCATGCCAGGCATGACTTGCAGTCGCCGTCTGAAAGGCGTCCGATATGGGAACTCGTCTTACAGCTCAACACCACTGTCTGTCCTGTCTCAACAAGTGCAAAAGAAGGAGCCTGAATGATGGTAGCTTCTGCTCTGGATTCTGGAAAAGAAGATGGAAAGATGAGATTGATCAAGGAGGTCTTGTAGTCATTTATTTCAAGACCACATGAGGCTTGTTACAGCAATAATACCTTTGATGCAGTTCAGAACGGTCAAGATGATGATTCCAATCATAATCATTGCTGCTGCTTTTTGTTATTGTGAAGAACAGCTGCAAGTATCCAACTCCCAGGGCTATAAACCCTCCCAGAGCACTGATGCGTGTGCTATCTATGCAAAATGTCCTCTCTTTATGGAAATGATTTTTGGGAGAATTTTATACTTAGTGGGTAAAAAGTCTTTCTATTTGTTTCTGTAGGAAGTGGGTTAAGAAACTGTGTTGTTCACATTACCTTTCATTTAATCTTTTCATAAATGTTACAATTCAGAAATTATACATATGCAGCTTTTAAAAAGCTGGAATGGAAGATAGGTCCCCATGTAAGATGTTGCTTAGGACCCCCATATGATCAGAAACAAGCCAGACATTTTGTTTTTTAAGGTTCTCCAGGAAAATACTTTTCCTGGTTAGGGAGGCCATTGTTGTACTTATTTTATCATGTATATGAAATTATTGCTTCAGAAATGACTGTTAACTTGTACAAATACTTCCGCCTCTGTGAAGCATTATATCTTTTATTTATGAAAATGTACTTCTTGGTAACAGAAGAAGGTTTATATTATATGTATGAAGGTGAAATTAATGTAAACCTGGTATTAGTCAAAAGAGGAAGAGGCCAACAGAACAGGGCAGGGTTATACTTGTAACAGTCATCATTCTGTGTCTCCCTCTAGAGGCCATCATCATGACTGTTCTTCATGTTTGTATCTTGATCAACACAGTGTGCCTTTGTGCTTTCAGGCAACAATTAAATAACAAATGGTTTAATTTAGTGTTATTGCTGTCTACTGCACTGGAAAGAGTTTGATCAAGTACTATTGATAATATTGTAGTGTCAGCATAAGAAGAAGACGTGGAAAACATTGTGCTATACAGAAAAAAAGCTTTTATTTTGAACAGCCACTTCAACAGGTAGCAAGAAATGCCCAGTCCAGCACTAGTCCAACAGGTAACACAGGTTGGGCTTAACATAGGATGACAACATACAAGGAGGGTAGACACCTCTAACGTGGCACCTCCTAAGAGACACTTTGCATGGCTACACCCCGAAAGCTCCTCGCGGCAGTGTGGCCTGTGGAGAATGCCACACAGCCCCCCTCCCCAGCCATCAAGGGTTGTCCTTGGTGCAGCGGCTACTCGATGTACCCCGCTCCAGGTGCACTGTGCTCCCTTTCCCTGGTAGGCAGCCAGACAGCAGCTCCTTTACATTGGTGTGCCAGAATGGAGAGAAATGGTGGAAGTCTGGTGCTACAGCAACAGCAATGGCACTCTTCTCAGCTGCCTTCCTCCTTCTTGGTCATCCAGACAGTCCAGTACTCATGTAGCACCGTGTTGCAGGCTATGGTGTTTGCACAGGGCTTGGCTGATGCCAGAAGAATGCTATCTACCAAAATGCCACCCACTGAAAGAGTTTCAACAGTAAAGTTTGGTGGAGGAGGGATAATGGCCCCTAAAGGCCCTTAGTTGCAGTGAGGGGTAATATTAAATCTGTAGCATGCAAAGATATTTTAGACAATTGTGTGCTTTTAACTTGCTCCAGCATGACTGTGCTCCTGTACACAAAGCGAGATTTATAAAGACATAGATTGATGAAACTTCAGTGGCCTTTCACAGAGATCTGACTATTTTAGGAATGGTTCGACATCAGTGCCTGACCTCACAAATGCTCTTTTGACTGAATGGGCACAAATTCCCATAGACACACTCGAAAATCTTGCAGAAAGTCTTCCTAGATGATTGGAGGCTGTTTTAGCCGCAAAGGGGACAACTCCATATTTACCTATGGTTTTGGAATGGGATGTCCAACAAACCCATATAGGTGTGATGGACAGATGTCCACATACTGTTGTGTACATTGTGTACATTAAAAAATGCTTGAGAAATAAATAATATATTTTGGGGTTTTTTTTTGTTTTTTTTTTCACTTTGATTCAGATGACCACATGAATACCATTTTGATCAGAACAAAGGTGAAAGGAAAAATAGTTTATTTTTATTTTATTTTTAACCCCTGTGTAAACAGTTTATGTCCTCTATGGCACAGCATTTGTTGTTATGGCACAGCTATTGTACAATTTTTTTACTGAAAACACAACATCACAAACCAAACAATCTAGTGTGTGAATGGCAGACTAAAGAAACACAAGGGTTTACTTTTAATGTTTTTATTTTTTTGTTTTTCTACAACTGGCTGGTGACAGATTTCAAAATAAGAGTTTGCACTGTGTGCGTGCAATAGAGGTAGCATCCTTGGGACAGATTCAGTTGCTGGCCATGGTCTGCTGAAGCCAGGGGATGAACTTGCAAACCTGAAAAAGGGGAGAAGAAATGGATAATAAGTGTGACTCTTTCAGGAGTTCTGTGGTTCCAAAAAATGTTTTCAAACCTTAAATATTTTCATTGGGGAAAGTAATAAATGCATCATCAGAAAACTGACTTGAACAAAGAAGAAACAACACTATTTTTTGGAAAATCAATCAATTATAACATAGTATGGTTAATACATGCAACAATATTGCAAAACTTTTGAGAATACCTTGGCATAGACACCAGGGTGGTCCTTCTCAGCACACCCATAGCCCCAGGACACAACACCCTGCAGCTGATTATTGCACACCACAGGACCACCAGAGTCACCCTGAGAAAGAGTGTACATGAGAGCATGAGCAACATTTCGTTTAGCTTAGGAGACCAAAAACAATCTACCTAAAGATAACATGAAGTCTGACATGTAATGCTATACATGAGTAAAAGCTTCCTTTGGTCAGATTTCAGTGGTAAAGCCATATTCTGTCATGCTACTGAAATGAACATGTAAACAGAACAGAATATTGTGTTCATTGCTTGGACACAGAGACAGTTGTGATTTAGTGCCACAGTGTACCTGGCAAGAGTCCTTGCCTCCCTCCAGATAACCAGCGCAGAACATGGAATTAGTGATCATGCCAGGGTAGGAGTTCTGACAGTCCTTTTCAGACAGGATGGGGATCTCCAGACACTGCAGCTTGTTGCGGTCGGCAGCTGCAAACATGACCCAAACAGTGCAAAAGTGAGAAAGCAGAGAAAATAGCACAGGCAGAGTAAGGCCATAGTTGCAGTGTGGTTGCCATGCTGATTTTTGATTGTTATGTGATTGTTGGCTGTTTGTGAGTTCAGACCATGCCTTCCACATGTGGCGGAAGTATGAGAGAAGACTGGTTGAGGAAGGGGGGAGAACTCTGAGAACTTGGGCTGGAGTTTTGGGCAGCTTCTTGCCTGTAGCTAGAAGGCCAGACCCCCCTCATAGCTATAGCAGGACTGATGCAGGACTGAGGAACAGGGAGGAGATGGGGTGGTGTTGGGGGTTGCAAACACTATGTCACAGGAACGGAAGGTGAGGATGTGAATTTATAGGGCATTAGATTGGAAAAAGGAGGGGTTTCAGGCATGTTCTTCCCCCAAACATCAGTTGTAACATAACTATATTTATCAAATTTGACAATATATAAAGTGGGGAAGTTTTAAAAAATGGCTTTGAAACATGTCAATCAATGACTCTAATGTAATGATTCCATACAATATGGCCAGTGCTGTAGTCTAGTCTAAAATAATGAATGTACTGTAACGAGCTATTAGCAAGCCCAGCCTTACAAGGAGAAAGGGAACCCTTTATTTCCATGTACGTTCAGAATTTGGGTTTCAGTGTTGATTCAACGCTCTTGTTGTACTGAATCACATTCAATCTTTTGTTGAATTTACCCAATAACAATAGCAATGACCATTTGTATGCAAAATTGTGGTAACTTTGTGGGAATATGGGTTATACACATGTATTACATATTGCATCCTTCCTTGCAGCTTTAACCCCTTGAGTTCTTTTTGTATGTACACATTGTAAAGCTTATTATTCACTAAGTAAATGGAAACTCTGCAAATCTGACCAGGACTGAGGAATGAAAGTCTGGATTTTAAGGGGTTAACTTGTGTTTCAGTGTCATCTTGGCACTGTGTTAACTAAAATGAGATGTGCACTCACTGGAGCTCATGGTGTTTCCCCAGCCGGAGACTGTGCACATGGTGCCAGCAGGAGCACAATCCTTGGGCAGGGCCACAGGGCTGCACATACTCGTTCAAGGTGGCAGGTCGGCTCAGCTTGATCAGCATGATGTCATTGTCAATGGTCCAGGAATCATAGTTGGGGTTTCTAATGACGAGGGCGGAGGGGATGAACTGCTCGGTGTTCTCGGTAACCTGGATGTTGTGCTCGCCCAAACGGACTTCGATGCGACTGGAAAGGATCGAAATAGTATTATAGTTCAATAGCAACATCAGGTTTTAACAGTTTCATGTTTCTGGTTAAAACAGGACTGAAGGCCTATTAAAACTAAAAACAGTAAAGCCACAGGTATTAGTCACAAATTAAATCACTTACGACTTGTAGCAGTGAGCAGCAGACACAACCCAGTTCTCGTTGACCAGAGAGCCACCACAGAAGTGATAGCCAGCGTTCAGAGACACCTGCCAGGGCTGGGAGTGGGCTTTGCACTCATACCCTCCGACAATCTTGTCATCCTCCAGAGCAACTTTACAAAAATAGCAACAATCATTGTGTATCAGAGTATATGGACCATTCTACTGAATTAGAACAAACCATATTTCCACTGTAAATCTGTTTAAAAACAGAGTTTAGAACTTTTTAAACTAATAATACATTAATAGCGATAGTAATAAGTTAAATATATATAACGTCATCATAGATTACTTTCTGTTGGGAGGTGGCTGTCCCAAACTCAAACTTCTAAATTAAACTTCTGAAAAGAATATCTTTCTTTTTTTTTCTTTTAAATTTTAGCCACACCCTTGCATTTTAGAGCAGGAAGTGAGAATGCATCCCTGTCCCTCATGGCCACATTGTGAGCAGTAGATCACATTGTTTCCAGGTAAATGTATCCCAAAGTCTGAAAATTGATGTGTAATAATAAGCATTGTCACTACCAAAACACATATTTTCTGCAATTATGTTTTAATGAAAATCTTAAATTATTTTATGTGTGTAGAACCGTTCAAAGCTGTGT